AAGAGTCTCCCTGCTAAAAGAGCCAAGGACCTGATGGATTGGTATCCAAATTTTACCAAACCTTTAAGGAAGAACTAACACCAATACTCCTGAAATTTTTCCAGGAAATAGAAATGGAAGTAATACTACTAAACTCATTTTATGAAGACAGCATTATAATTGTTCTGAAACCCAATAAAGTTGTAACAAGAAAAGAGGTTTATAGACCAATATATTTAAAGAATACAGATGCAAATATTCTCAACAAAATATTGGCAAACAGAACTCAACAACACATCAAAAAGATCATACACCATGACCAAGTTGGTTTCATTTTAGGGATTCAAGGATAATTCAACATACATAAATTCATTCATGTAATACAGTACATAAAAAAACCACATAATCCTCTGAATAGATACAGAAAAGGCCATTGACAAACCAACACCTTTTTCATGATAAAACTCTGAAGAAAGTAGGAATATAAGGAAAAATCCTCAGCATAATAGAGGCTACATGTCAAAAACTTAGAGCGAAAATCATACAGATGGAGAACACCTGAAACAGTTGCCCTTCAAGTCTGGAATGAGTCAAGGCTTTCTGCTTTCTCCACTGTTTCAATATAGTTTTGAAAATCCTAGCCAAGGCAATAAGACAGCAAGAAATATGAGGGATTCAAATAGGGAATGAAGATTTCAAACTATTCTTGTTTGCAGAAGACATGATCTTATACCTAACAGACCTGAAAATGTCTACAAAAAACTACTAGAAATCATAAACTCTTTCAGCAAAGTAGCAGAAAACAAAATTAACATACAGAAATCAGTAACATTTCTAAATAGCAACAAATCACAGACTGAGAAAGAAATCCTTGAAACAATTCCACTTACAATATCCTCAAAATCAATAATGTACCTTGGATTAAATTTAAAGAAAGAAACAAAAGTACTTTTAAAAAAACTACAAACCATTAAGGAGAAAAATTAAGGAAGAATTTACATTCCAAGGATGGAAAGACCTTCCATCCTTGTGAATTGGGAGAATCAACATTGAAAAAATGGCCATACTCCCAAAAGCAATCTACATGTTCAATGCAATGCTTATTTCCATTCCAGTGACATTCTGCACAGAAATAGAATAAAATCATGAAGAACGTATGGAAACACAAACAACCCTGAATAGACAAGGTTATTCTGAGCAAAATGTCCAATGTTGGAGGCATCACAATTCCTGACATCAAACTATACTACACAGCCTTAATAATAAAAAGAGCTTGGTATTAGGACAAAAACAGAGGGGATGACCAAGAGATAAGACTAGAAGGTCCAGACTAAACCCACACATCTATAAATAAATGATTTTCAACAAAGGAGCCCAAAATACATGATGGAGAAAAGACAGCCTTTACAACAAATGCTGCTGGGGAAAATAGATATCCACATGCAGAATATGGAAACTAGATCTATTTCTTTCAACCTGTACCAAAATCAATTCCAAGCAAATCAAAGACCTTAATATAAGACCTGAAATTTTGAAACAACTCCAAGATGCTGTAGGAAATACACTGGAACAGATAGACATATGGAATGACTTCCTAATCAGAATTCAAAAGAATCAGCATCTAAGAGAAACTATGAAAAAGTGGACTGCGTGAAACTAAAGAGCTTCTGCACAGCAAAGGAAACAATCACCAGACTCAAGAGACTGCCACAGAATGGGAGAAAAGTCTTTGCCAACTAATCATCTGACAAGTGTCTAATATCCAGAAATACAGGAAACTCAAAAAAATCAGCCCCCAATGAATAAACACCCTGTTGAAGAAATAGGCACATGAATTAAACAGGGAATTCTCAATGGAAGAGTTACAAATGGCCAGTAAATACATGAAGAATTTTTCAACTCCCCTGGTTATTAAAGAGATGCACACTTAGATTTCATCCACCACTGTGAAAATATCCAGAATCAAGAGTAATAACAACAACAAATGCTGGGTAGGATGTGGCAAATCAGGAGCCCTTAAACACTGCTGGTGAGAATTAAATTAAGTAGAACCACTATGGAAAACCTTATGTAGAGTCCTTAAAAAACTATACACAAAACTGCCATATTATCTGGTGATACCACTCCTGTGCATTAACCCAAATGATTGTGAGGCAGGATAGAACAGAGACACCTGTACACCGATGTTCATTGCAGCACTATTTACAATAGCCAAGCTCTGGAAACAGCCCATATCCCCTACAACTAAGGAGCTGATGAATTGTATACAGTGGGCTCTTACTAAGCCATGAGGAACAATGACATGGGGGTTGAAGTTAAATTTATGCAATTGGAGGACATCATGTTAAGTGAAGTAAGCCAGGATGAGAAAAGCAAAATTCACATGCTTTTTCTCATATGTTGAAGATAGATCCAAAGATAAACATATACATATGAACAACAATGACCATATACAAACACAGACTTACAACATCTGTGTAACTGCTCTATGAAACATGGGGAAAGAGCAAAAGGAAAAGAGAATGATATTGCATCAATAATATGTCATACTACAAGATGTGAAGGTAGAGGGTATATTGAAAGCTGTTGAAAATTGTGGGGTGTAAGGTAAAGGGGTAAGGGAGAGAATTTGAAGGTATTGAACAGACTGAAGTAAAGCACAATATAGTAGTCATACATTGAGATACCCTTATGAAACCAGGACTGTAAAAGAGGCACAGTGTGTGGGGGGCATGGTGCTGGTGAAGGAAAGAGATTAAGGTAACAGTATGTTGTTGATGGACTTCATAAACATATATGAAGAGGATTGAAAGAGAGTGATGTTGGTGAGAATGTAAATAATGTACAGTACAAGACTAATTGGAATTGTCATTATGAATCCACTCCCCATGAATAATGAATATATCCTAATGAAAATTTAGAAGAAAATAAAAACAACAGTAATAAAAAATACTATTTTCATTCAAGTATCTGTTGAAAATCCTGTGTTCCCCCTTTGAATAGAAATACAAATCAAACGTAATGGGTTTATCCTAATTGATGAAAACTGTGCTGAGACTGGAAACTCAGGTTGAAGGGAAAATTTCCAAAGCCCTTAGGTTTAATCATGCTCTCAACCAGATCACAAATATATCGAAAAAGGGAAAGTATTGAGCATACATTATAAACAAGCATAACTTTTGGGATGAGCTCCTGTGCTATGCCTCTGTATAAGCAAGCAAAAGAAACACTTGGTGATTTGTAGATGTTTACTTGGTTTAAGATGAACAGACTTGCACAGAGTAACATAGTTTTGGATCAATTACAATAGATATTCAAGTAACCTATCAACTAATTCATTCCTAAGTTTGCCTATTTAAACTTTAATGATGTAGATGATCCCAAAACAGGTTAGTTTTCTGTGAAACAGGAGATTGTATTATCACTGAAAAGGAGTGTATTGAAGTCCCGTCTGGTTTATCTTTCTTTACAAATTAAGTGCCGTGAGGGTTTACCCTTCTGCTCTCCCCTCCCTTTCTTTCCTGCTTCCTTGTGTCCCCTTTACAACATCCACTGTTCCACAGCTTTCCCGTGCTGATCACTACTCCTTTTTGTAAAAAGGATGTGCCTCTATTTGTGGGTGAGGAATACAACCTTTTGTGGTCAGTAGCTGAAGATACTGTCATTTCCAATTTGCTTCACTTATGTTGCTTGGCTTATTCCATTATGTGAAGTAGTGAAGAAAATATGATAATTTTCAGCTTCTCCAGTTTAGGCTATGTTGCAGTGTATGAAAAATGATATTTATCTCAACTGCCTGCAATTTCAAAAAGCAGCCAAATTGTCAAACAATTCTTCTTAATATATTGATTGAAGAAATACAAATCAGTGCAATAAAAGAACATATACTACAAAGAACAAGATTAAATTCACAAGAATTCCTTCCTAGTAAAATACACAAACCATAGTACATATTTTATGACACCATTACTGCACATTATAGAACAGTATAACCAATTAAATTGGAACAAAGAAGATCAGGAGTTATTGGGGGACAGAGGGAAGAAAGGGATTTGTAGAAAGGAGCAAGAACATAAAAGCAAGAGGAAATTCTGTGGGTAATTGATGTTTCATGTCTTGGTAATAGTGATGATTTGGTGGACCATTATCATACTGTACATATTTACATATGCACGATAATATGACTAGCACGATTCATTAAAACTATTCCAAAAATCAACAGTATGCTTCAGTAGGTAAGGAATGAGAGATAATAACACAAAAATGTGAGAGACTCTGAGAAGATGCCTGAGAGAATCTAAATTGGTGATCTATGTTTAAGGAAGCAAGGGTGAATGAAAACCAAGTCATGTTCTCTACAGAGGAAGAGGTGTGGACAGCATCACTAAGCATGTCCATCTCTGCCCTGGATTTGGTTCAGGGGTAGCTGAGAACTGTGGGAAAGATTACAGGTCCAAATGGCTAAATTTTTGTCAGATAAGAGCTCTTAGCAATAAGCCCTTCTCTTCTTCTAATTCTATGTTTATGACTGTAAAATGTAAGATGAGAAGAAAATGAATGACTTATGTCTATATAAGCATTGAGATAAAATAATGAGCATTCCATAATTATCACACACTAAAACATGATAAATTTTATGCTTCCCTAATTCTTATCAATTACTGCTAGTTTCATTCAGCATACCACATTAGCAATGAAGAGTGGCTTCTCTTTGACATACAACCACAGAGCCTGCTATATAGTAAGAAGACATGCAAATAAGACTTCGTTCTGTCCATTTAAACCAGCCCAGCCCTGACCCTGCAGCTCTGGGAGGGGAGCCAAGCCCTGGATTCACAGTTGGTCTCATTCTGTGATCAGCAATGAACACAGACCACTCATCATGGAGTTGTGGTTGAGCTGGCTTTTCCTATTTGCTATTTTAAAAGGTGACTTATGGAGAACAAGAGATACTGAGTGGAAATTAATGAAGTAGTGGGTGTATGTTCTAGTTTCCTTACCAGGATTCTCTGTGTTTGCAGGTGTCCAGTGTGAGGTGAAGCTGGTGGTGTCTGGGGGAGGCTTTGTGCAGCCTTCAGTGAACACTAGGAATTGGAGGTAAGACTGACCAAGGTACATTGTATGTGGTCATGGAGCTGACTCTGGTCTGACTTGTCTGTCATGGAGTCACCTCTCACCCCTGTGGCTTTGGGGAGATCTGCAGATGGGACTCCACACTGTGATGTGATCTCTTGGGACAGCATACAGTTCTTTTGTGAGCCATGACCTGTGGCTCCACCATGATAACTCTTCTTGAATTAGAGAAGCAACAGGATGATGGGGCTGTGAGGTCCTTGGTGGAGGTGAAATCCTGGAGACTGACAGGAAATTGCATATCCTATACACTATATTGTTACACGAAGGAAGGAGCAGAGCTGAGGCCTGACCTGGAATTTTGTGCAGAAGGTACCCAGGATGTGTCTCTGTGGTATCTGAGTACAGTAATAGGTGGCCATGCCAGGATGGTGGGTATGCCACATGTCATTGTGAGGAGGACAAGGTCATTAGAGCTATCATTGCAGATGGTAGTCTGGCTTTTAAGGGCTGTGTTGCAGTACTTACTATTGCTCACCAAATGTATGCCAGCTATTCTATGCTCATCACTGGTAGTTGACACCTCACTCCTGTTAGGATGATTATTACCAAAAAATTACAAGAGCTGCACAAGATATGTAGAAAGTGCAGGACTTGTCCTGGTGTGGATGAACACTGCCATGGTTCAGAACATTATTTACAGTAGCCAGGAACTGTACATAAATGTCCATCAGAAGGATAGACGAAGAAGAAACTAGCAAGGGTTTTCAGAGTGGAATACTATTTACTCATAGAAAGGTGGAAGCACTGTCACATGTGACTCCATGGTTGGACATGGAGAACCTCAGGTTAAGAGAAATGAGCCAGGGACAGAAAGACAAATACCATATAGTGACACGCTTAGGTGGAATCTAAATAGTTGATTGCAAAGAAGCAAAGAGTGGAATAATGATTACCAGGGAGAAGGAGAGAGAACAGGATAGGGAGAGGCTGGACAATGGCTACAAATTTGTAAGCACACAGGAGGACAAAGTTCAGGTGTTGATAGTGTGGTGATAGTTAATGACAATGTACTGTGTTTGCTAAGATTATAAGAGTGGTGTTTAATGGATTCATCTGTAAAAGATAAACTAAAAGGTGATGAATGTGTAATTGCTCAGACTTTATCATTCCAGGACATACACATGTATTGGATCATCACTCTGTGCCCCACTGATATGGAGGATAATGTGAAATCAATATGTGTCAATAAAATATAAACTTATGATAGTTAAGAATGAAACAGGGCTCTTATACAATGTATTCAGAGCATGATGTTCACTTACCAAATAAATAGCTCATTTGAAGTTTTTTTTTATTCATATGTGCATACAATGTTTGGGTCATTTCTCCCAACTTCCCCCACCCCCTCCCTCTGCCCCCCAATCCCCTCGCTATGCAGCAAGAACCATTTTGCACTTATCTCTAATTTTGGTGAAGAGAGAGTATAAGTAATAATAGGAAGGACCAAGGGTTTTTACTAGTTGAGATAAGGATAGCTAAACAGGGAGTTGACTCACATTGATTTCCTGTGCATGTGTGTTACCTTCTAGGTTAATTCTTCTTGATCTAACCTTTTCTGTAGATCCTGGTCCCCTTCTTCTATTAGCCTCATATGTATCTAGAAATCTGTCCATTTCTTTAAGATTTTTCAAATTTGTTTTAATATAGGTTCTCAAAGTAGTCTCTGAAGATTTCCTGGACTTCTATTGAGTTTGCTGTTATCTCCCCTTTTGCATTCCTGATTCTACTAATTTGGGCTTTTTCTATCCTCATTTTAGTCAGGTTTGCCAGGGGTCTGTCGAATTTGTTTATTTTTTCAAAGAACCATCTTTTTGTTTCATCAATTCTTTGTATGGTTTTTTTGCTTCTATTTCTTTGATTTCAGCTCTTATTTTTATTATTTCTCTCCAATTTGTTTTGGGATTTGCTTGATCTTGTTTTTCTAGGAGTTTGAGATATATCATTAAGTCATTGATTTGGGATCTTTTAGTCTTTTTAATATATGCACTCATGGCTATAAACTTTCCTCTCATGACTGCCTTTGCTGTCTCCCATAGGTTCTGGTAGGTTGTGTTTTCATTTTCATTGACATCCAGGAAATTTTTAATTCCCTCTTTTATTTCATCAATGGCCCATTGTTCATTAAGTGATGAGTTATTCAGTTTCCAGCTGTTTGCATGTTTTTTGTCATTACTTCTGATGTTGAGTTCTAGTTTTATTGCGTTGTGATTAGAGAGAATGCATGGTAAAATTTCTATTTTCTTGTATTTGCTGAGGCTTGCTTTGTGCCCTAGGATATGATCTATTTTGGAGAAGGTTCCATGGGCTGCTGAGAAGAATGTATATTGTGTAGAAGTTGGATGAAATGTTCGGTAGACATCAAGCAGGTCCATTTGATCTATGGTATATTTTAGATCTAGGATTTCTTTATTGACTTTTTGTTTGGATGACTTATCTATTGATGATAATGGGGTGTTAAACTCTCCCACAACCACTGTGGGAGTTAATATATACTTTTAGTTCCTTCAAGGTATGTTTGATGAAATTGGGTACATTGACATTGGGTACATATGGGTTGATAATTGTTATTTTCTTTTGGACTATTTCCCCTTTTATTAGTATGGAATGTCCTTCTTTATCTCATTTGATCAATTTAGGTTTGAAGTCTACTTTGTCAGAGATAAGTATTGCTTCTCCTGCCTGTTTTCTGGGGCCATTGGCTTGGTAAATCTTCTTCCAGTTTTTCATCCTAAGCCTATGCTTATTTCTGTCGTCGAGGTGGGTCTCCTGTAAGCAACAAATTTTTGGATCTTCCTTTTTAATCCAGTTCATCAAACGGTGCCTTTTGATGGAGGAATTAAGTCCATTAACATTAAGTGTTAGTACTGATAGGTATGTGGTGATTCCTGTCATTTAGTTGTCTTAGTTGTTTGAAGGTTTGATTGTGTGTACCTAAATTGAGGTTACTTTCTATTTTCTTGACTTTTCTTTTCCTGTAGTTTGGTGCTGCCTGCCCTTTCATGGTTATGTTAGATTTCACTTTCTGTGTGCAGAAACCCTTGAAGAATCTTTTGTAGTGGTGGCCTTGTGGTCACATATTGTTTTAGTTTCTGCTCATCATGGAAGACTTTTATGGCTCCATCTATTTTGAATGATATTTTTGCTGGGTAGAGTATCATGGGATTGAAGTTTTATTTTCATTCAGTGCCCAGAAGACCTCACCCCAAGCTCTTCTTGCTTTTAATGTTTCTGTTGAGAAGTCTGCTGTGATTTTGATGGGTTTATCTTTGAATGTTATTGATTTTTTATCTCTTATAGCTTTCAATATTCTTTCTCTAGTTTCTGTACTTGTTGTTTTAATGATAATATGCTATGGGATAGTTCTATTTTGGTATGGCCTGTTTGGTGTTCTGCAGGCCTCTTGCATCTGTATGGGAATAGATTTCTCTAGATTTGGGAATTTTTCTGTTACTATTTTGTTGAAATAATAACAATTCCTTTGCTTGCACCTCTTCTCTGTCAATGCCATTCAATGCAGTCGGTGAATTCAAGCATTTTCTTTTCACAGGTGTTGAGTTGTTTAACTAATAGTTCTTCAGTTTTTTCTTTTATTACCATTTCATTTTTGAATTCTGAGATTCTGTCTTCTGTTTGTTCTATTCTGCTGGATTGCCCTTCTATTTTCTTTTGCAATTCTGTTTCATTCTTTTTTCTGAGGTTTTCCACATCCTCTTTAATGTTGTCTATTTTTGTCCTGAGTTCATTTATCACTTTATTTATCATGTTGTTTGTTTCACTTTGGTGTTTATACAGTGCTTCTATGGTTTCTTTTATTTCTTCTTGTGTTTTTTTTTAATCCTCTGTTTTTGTTGTCTTGGAATTTCTTGAGTGTCTCCTGTACATTTTGGTTGACCAAATCCAGTATCAACTCTATAAAATTCTCATTGATTACCTGTAGTATTTCTTCTTTTAGATTGTTCTTGTGGGCATCATTGGGATCTTTGGCATAGTCGATCTTCATTTTGTTGGAGTCTGGATCTGAGTATCTGTTTTCCTCATTTTGCTCTGGTTCCTGTAGTAATTTTTTGCTG